GATCATTGCACACAGCAGCATTTGTCTAGAAGAGGACTTCAAACTTGTCAACAGTCAGAATCAAGTGCAAGTCACCAAGAACTTTGCAAAGTTCTTTGAAATCTTTTGAGTGGTCTTTGTGTATATTTTGTCAGAATACTAAAACAGAGTCTGGGCACATAGTTGCAAACTTTTCAATGGAGCAAAAAAATTATGTGATGCAAAATATCACCATAAACTTTGTATAGCTCTCTCTAACTGTTTTGACCTTAAAGCTGTAGAAGCAAAGTATCACGTAACATGTTTGATGAGCTTCAACCATTTAGTTTCAAGAGCTCATAGCAATGCTTCAAAAAGTGACATACCAATGGCTTGGTTGTGTGAAGAACTTGAAGACTTTGCTAAGGAAGGAGCTGTGCATGACATCAGTGATGTCTGGGACAGGTATGTCTATCTCTCCAATAAAGCACAGCATCAGGTTTCATACACTCGAAAGAATAAGAGATGCAGTGAAGTGCACCATAATGATTCCAAAAGCATTTTCACTTATCCCTGTAGCTAAACTTTTGCAAAAGAGTTCAGATGAAAATCATCTTATCATATCTTCACAGGGTCATAACATCTTTTTTGCTATGGTTCAAATTGCCCTTCAGCTAAGGGCTGACATATTGTACCATCCAAAAGCAAAGGATATCAATATTTCTGATCTAGGAATATATTAATGCATTCCAGGTAGTTTACTGACCTTTCCAAGTGTGTTATATGGTGAAAAAGATACAATCAGTGATGGCTTAGAAATGGAAAATGTGGGTGGACTCCACAGGCTAGTTGATCAAATGTCAAAAATCCTTTAACACTTACGTTAAGTGTTGCCCAAGATATGATGTATGGCATCAGTGGAGGAAGTAACTGGATGCCTAAGCATATTGGCCTCGGTTTCTCAATTCATCAGGCCACTATATCCAAGAAAGTTGTTCATCTATTTCATAAAGAAGGGCAAAACATAAGCTGTCAAAACATTTTGCAAGTAGATACAGCTTTGGCAGAAGATACTTTAAAGTCATGGGACATGAGTGTAGGTGGCATAATTCCACCAAACTTGGTCAAGGATAGATTTGTACATTTTTCCACTGACAACACCAACATCCTTGACTCAAATCTAAATGGCAAACAAACATTTCATGCCACTCAATTCACAGCTTGGCAACATAGTCCTGAATCCCATGAAAATATTTCAGAAAACATTATTCCTTCTTCCAGACAAATGCTGCAAGTACCCAATGAACTGAACAATTTCATTCCTCAATCAAATTATGATGCCAAGTTTACACCAAAGTTTGTGTTGACATGGGTTGCTTTGAAGACTGTACTGGTAATGGCAACACAAGTGATGCACCAACAGATGCAAAATAGTTGGTTTTTGTTTTCAAGGCAGCAATCAAACTTAACTGGACAAATTTCTATCAACAGTCGTGCCACACTATGTTTGAATAATATATCATTGGATACATGCTCATAATTCTTATTCCAGCTCAGGAACTGAAAACTTTAAATACTGTCATACAAAGATGTAGTTTTGTAGTTGCTAGTCTTGGACAGAGCTATGTATTGACTGCAGATGAGGCCCTTAATTGCAAGTTGATGCATTTGAAATGGTCAAATACAGACTACCAAAAGTTTTTGATCCCTTGCCTTGGAAGTTTGCATGTAGCAATGAATTTAATCAAAGTCATAGGCAAATATATCCAGTCTACTGTTATTCTGGAAGCTTGGGTTGAAAGTGGCCTATTGGCACAAAGAACAGCTGAACTTGTAATCTGTGGAAAAAATTATTCAAAAATGATGTGCACACACAATCTGACCTACCGAGCCATGTGGGAAATTCTTCTACCACAAGTTCTTCAGTACCTAGCAGAAAAAAAATGTTGACCTGAAAGACAGCATTGATTTGGCCATTGACCAGAGTGCAGATGATGATCAAGTAAAGATACTTGACACTCAAAGATTTCTGGATCTTACGAAGCAGTTCGAATCTGAGGAGTGTTTGTCCAATTTTCTTGTTTAGTGGAATTACTTTAAAATGGTCCAAGTTCTGCTGCTTTTTACCAGAGCCCAAAGGGAAGCTGATTGAAGATTGCATCTGATTTTATTTCAAAAAATGCTGCCATACTTTTTTCAATACAACCATAGTAACTATGCTTGCTGGGGTACTGTATATTTGTCAGAGATGCACCAGCTTCCTACTGAGGTTGAAGAAGAATTCCAACAAGGTAACTTTGTGATTAAAGGTAGCCAGATGTTATTCAATCAAGTAGATCCTGACCATGCTCAGGAGTGGTTAGAGGAGGCATTGTTGGAATTACCAGATCACATCTTGCAATCTTTAATCTAAAACTGCAAAGGATACACAGTCTTTACAGACTTACCCTAGATGATTCAATGGAAAGCAAAGAATTCAGAAAACCTCAAACAAGTGTTGCAAAGGTTATCACTTTTCAGATTTGATTCAAACTTCACAGTTTTGTTCAACATCGCAAACAAAGATCAAGCATCTCGAGATGTAACATCTGCATTGCTGAATGTTAAGGAAAGTGGACAAGCTGAAAGCAAAGATTGATCCTACACACTGTGCCCTGGAATGATCCTTTGTCCAAAAGCAAATATCTTATATTTTCTAGCATGTATGAAGTGAAAGCCTTAGGTATGGGATAGGACAAAACCAAGACAATTAAAGCTAACTGGACTCTCTTACAGGTGACTTGTTGTTGCGTATGAAGCTGGACAAACTGATGACCTGAATGAAATCATGAAACATGAACTGTCACCAGTCTCTCTTTCTTCAGCTGCATTGAATAGTTCTATGAGGTCAGGATCAAAGTCACTTCTAGCTGATGAGCTGATGGCAAAGATCAGTTGCCCTAAGAACCTGCCTCCATATGAAGATGCAACATTGATCATTGATGGTATGTCTGTAGTCCATATCCTTGGAAAATCTCAGAAGGCAAAAGCTTTTGGAGATTTTTCTGATGTTTTCTGTGCACTGATTTTTAACCCTTCCATTATGGACTGGGGGGATCCATGAGAGTAATTATACTATGATTTTTGATAATGTATGTGTATCTTTACAAAATTTTGCAGATTATTAGTAAACATTGCAAGGCTTTCATACACAAAATATCAGGTTTTTCAATTATGTTTTAAGATCTTTTATTAAAAATTTGCTTGTGATTTTCTCTTTCAGGATGTTGACTATCCAATGTGCAAAGTAATTTTGATTTTAAGATTAAAAATACTTTTCTTTATCTGAAATTTCTCAAGTTTCATTTATGTAATCTCTATATTCTTCTAGATATCACCAAACGTTTTTTAAATAAAACTTTATATTCAATCTGTTATTTTATCAATATTAACTGTATATGATGTTGATCAATTTGACCAAACTTGTAACCATCATATAAATTAGGAAATAAATCTAAAATAGCTTAAATCTTTTAACAATATAAATCTACTTGTATTTATTAATTTTTGTTTTATTGACCTTTGAACTGTGTCTGACTAAAAAGACCCCATCAGAAGTTGAAAATTACACGGCGCACGTGGATTGACTTCACAGTATCGAACAGCGTAATACAGAAGCTTCTGGTGCATATACTCCAGGAAGATTTTAATTATTTTCTTTCGTTATCTTACCTAACAACTTTATATTTTTATGATTTTAGTTACTTTTATAAC